ATATATATATATATATATATATATATATAAATTGTAATCAAGCTTAATTACTAATTTATCCTATTTTGAAAAGAGATAAGATCACTCAATTTAAAATAAAATTAGGATTAAATTAAACTAAAATTTAAGATATAGAAAACAAATTAAATACAAGACACTCTCGTGTACTGTCATATGATACTAACATGACAATGCCACTACTACTACATAGCACAATAGTAACATGACATGTGACAAAAAAACTTAGAACAAAAAAAATATTAAAATATTATGAATTGACATGCGATGTATACCAACATGATGGTAATGCCAATTTAAAGAAATGCCAGTCTAAAGAAAATGACCTAATTAGATCACTTTTACAAATTAGATGACTTAATTACACTAAATAAAAATTAAGACTCTAATTGAATTTTTCAAACAAATTAAATAACTAAAAGAGGATTTTAGCCTAAAGAGAATGACGTAGTATTTAAGAAAGCTGATGTTAAAGATGGATTATTCCTACACAGAATTCCTCCGAAATCATGTTCAAATATATTATATTAAAATAGATACAGAAAATTTTGTTCACTGAGGGGGTTGATTGCCACGTAGGAGGTAACCTTTTTCCTCCCTTATTTGTAAGGACTAAAGAATAAACATGTAATTTGATCACTCAAGTCTATGATGCTTACTACTGCACCAATGTTCACAGATTATTATACCTAATATATAAAGTCAATTTAACATCAGACAACAGTTTCAGGCAGAACAAGGAAATTAAAAAAGAAAAAATAAAAACTTCAGGTTAACGAATCAAAATATAGGCTGTCACAATTGTTGTGACTGTTTATATTGCCTCTGAAAATAGGGGTGGAAATCACTTACTCCATCCAAGTATAATGGAGTTTGCATTTCAATCAGGCGTGAGACCTATAAAGGAAGATTCAAATGTTAATAGGTAATTTCTTATTCCATCCAAGTATAGGATCTGTACAAATAATTTAGGAGACACTCCCTCCATCCTACTTTGTTTGACGATTAAGATTTTGACACAGAAATTTAGAAATGTAATTAATATTTTAGACTCCATAAAAATGATTTTTATTTTGTAAGATATTCCTTGTCCTTTATATTGATTAATTTCTCTCTTACATATACTTTCTATACTAAAAGCAAAGAACAGTTGCTACTTACAGCTCTGTGAAAAGCAAACAACTCTTCTTGACCAGATAGTATGGATGTGATACTAGAAGGGGCACCTGCTGAGCTCACCCTGCCTTCTGCCAAGACATTGCGACGAAGTTTCCCACCATCAATCTCTGTTTCGAACTGGAAACTGGAACCAAAACAGGAGTGAAAAGGTTCAGTCAACTGTGAATCATTTAATTAGGACTATATCAAAAGCAAAGCTGATAAGTCTGAAGTCTACATTGCTTAATTCATTATTTGGAAACTCCTAGTAAAAGGACTTGAAAATACATGCAAATGAGGAGGAAAACTGATTCAAATGCATTGATAGTAAACCGCTGCAAAATCCATGGGAAAGAGGGTCAGATTAAGCCCGAAAAAAGTGACCCAAAAATGAATTTGACACACAACATTCAATAACTTTTTCCTTTTATAGATTGGGAGAAATTATGATGATCATGGTAGTTGGGGTGAAGTACGCATGTGGGTATCTCAAAATTAGAAGAAAATAATTTCTCTCTTATTCAGTCTCATTACATATATCTAATATATATATATATATATATATATATATATATAATTAACAAA